GGTGGAGAGCACAGTGTCAGGGTGATTCATCCACTGGCGAGCCAGGGTGATGTACTTGTTGTATAATCGTTGTCATTTAAGAGACTAGGAAACTGAGGCTCAGAAAAAACAAGGGCCTGTGTGCCAGGCTGTGGTAGGAGGGGCCACTCACGTGCAGACGGGGTGGCTGCTCCATTGGCACCTTCCATCTTCTCGCTGCGGCACAGGGAAAAGGAGGTGGCTGTGAGGAAGTCCCAGCTGGCCCCAGCTAGGGAGAGCTGGATGGCACCTTAGCCATTCATCCAGTCCACTGATTTCAGGATGGGGTCCCAGAGGGCAGAAGGAACCCACCCAGGCCCACATAGAAAGGAAGTGGCAGCGTTGGGCACAGAGCTCTCGGTGTCCCTCCACCCTTCCTGCCCTGGCCCTCACCTGGGGGTCTCCGGCTCCGAGCCTCGGAGCAGAGCGCTCTGCACCAGGCCGGTGAGGCTGGCAATCTGCTTCTCCATGGCCTCCATGCGCTCCCTGGGAAATAACACGACTGTGAGCAGCAGACTCTGCCTGGGTTCCCTCCGGCAAAGCCCCTCCTTCCCACATTAGAGAACCAAAGGACACCCCACCCCTTCCCCTGCCAGTCCCACAGACCCATTAAAGGGGGCTGCCTCCTCAAGGCCAAGTCCATACTCTCCACCTGGCCGGCAGCAAGGGCTTTCTCCCCATGACGGCCACTCCCTTCCTCTACAGCCTCACTTCTCCCCACACTGACCCCCCCACACACTAGGGTCCCACACCAGCCTCTCCGGGCCTTTGCACGTGCCATTCCCATCTGCCTCCTCTGAAGCCCCAGCCTCCAGAGTCCCCAGCAGCCTCAAAGACACCCCCCTCCTCCCACACCACCTGTTAGACCCTCCCAAGAAAAGTACAATTACTCCCAAGGCAGGAACAGCATCTGCCCCCGACTTGACACAAGTGTAAACGGGATCACTTCTCACAGCAAGAGTACAGAGAGGGAGGGCAAGGGCCAGTGCTCCATCACCTCCTCCTGTCCTGTACAGGGAGGGCTCCCCTACAGCCCCCAGGTGGGGGAGGGCTGTGCTTTGGTCCAGCCCCCCTGTCCTTAGTGCTAGACAGCTCTCACGGGGTCACAGCTGGAAAGGCACTCAACAGAGCTGGCTGCACCTCTCAGTTTTATAGTTGGGGAAACCGAGGCACAGGGAACAGCTACAAACTGGGCTTTTTCTGATTCTCTTCCGAGACCCAGTGGGCCGAGCCTCCGGACTGGCAATAGTAGAATGTCTTTCTCTCTGCACCCAAGAATAGAACACCACCCTTCGAGACTATCCTGGGTCTACCCAAGACTCCCGGCCCCCTGGGTCCCCATAGGGCCAGGCCTCAATCCCGCCACAGACCCCAGCCCGACCTCAGCCCCGAAGTCTCGGGGCGTGTCCCTCACCTCGTCTCCGAGTCCTTGGCTGGCAGGGGCGGCCCGTACCCCACCAACGGGCGCTCCCCCGGCCCGGGGAAGAGCTCGGAAGGGGGTGCTCCGGCGGTGGAGGAGCCGCC